GGATGCCGGCCCAGTGGTCTAGAGACCGATAGGTTCTAGTTTCAAATCTCGCTAGGCAGGATTGTGGATATGCACTGCTGAGAAGTTCCATACAAGGACGAAACAGCCGTCCAGTGCTTCCAGGTTTTCCATGGTAGTCAAGCTTTAAATGACTCATAAATTCAACGATTAAATAGCTATTTCATAGTTCTATGTAATGTTTTTAAATCTCGATTGATATTTTCCGTCATAGTTTTTTTTAATTTCAATGGTTAAAATGTACGACTTAACCCAAATAATTTTGACATTTTTCACTTGAGTTCCCAGATTTGTTCGAGTCTTTTTGTTGTTTCATTCATACTACATTATTAATAACCCTTTTTATCCGAATTGATCGAAGGATGTGTGGAGATTCGTTTAACTTTGAGGTGGTATTCACTGCCAACTGACATCAAACGATGTACCACTACAATCAGGAAACACTAGACTGTGGTTTTAACTTAGTAAGGAACTACTTTTGTGATAATCCATTAAATGTTGTCAATACAGTTCTACTGTTTGTGTCGGAATCTTGGAGAACCACTAAAGTCATCATCCAGAGGATACAAGTGTTTATTCACAGTTGTCTACGCAAAATATTTCGGATCCGTTAGCCAGACACTATTAGCAACAAACCACTGTAGGAGAGAACAGGTGTTAGTAAGTAAGGAACTATTTGACAGCGCCCATACATGAACTTAACAGAGGTCGAATACAGACACTCATTGTATTGATCTAAGTTGGTTTTGAAGTTAGAGATTTTCTTTTCTTAGAAATACACTACTAAAAACATTAAAACTATTATATTTTCAGAACTTCCCTGACAGTGGTTGTATGCATGTGGCAGTGTGAGAACATTTTGAATGGAAGAGCTGTTTCTTTTCACTCTTGACGGTACTAGAGCCTTTGAGGGCTGTGAATTAGAAATAGTAACTATTGTTTTTTAATGAATTAAAATGAACCATTCAACTCAATGAATAACAAAATGTGAACATACTGTTATACTGATCAATCAATATTCTTTTCATTTGAGATCATGAATAGATCAATGAACACATCACCAATGAAAATCTAGAATGATTGGATGATCATTTTGTAACAGTAAAGGACTCATCAACAATGCGCATTCACAATACTACACATGATTATGATTAAAATTGAACTCTGTTATTGTAGTGAACACGATTGAAGACAATTGAATGTATTTGAATATAAAATTATAGAACATCTTAGTAAAATCTGAGCATCATACAGTAAATACTTCATTTGTAAAATGTTAATCAATTTTCTCAGACTTGACTGATTCTTCTTTTCCAATACCAATCATTCTCTGTTCTCGTACGCTTTTCTTTCATCTTCTTAACCTTTTACTTTCGGTTAATGATATATACTACTTATATCTGTCGACATCAGTAGCATACACCACACTCGTCTCACCTTTAAATCAATCAATCTTGCTGTGGCTCTGCTCAAATATATATATGTGTGTGTATTTGTGTATTTTTATAGGTTGCCGAGTTATTTCATCAAGTGGATATAATATTTATTGGAAGTTTATTAAGTGTTCAAAAGATTATTATCAATGATAAACGTTGCTTTGAATTATATGGTTATGATATATTACTTGATGATAATTTACGACCATGGTTATTAGAAATTAATGCATGTCCATCATTGACAGCTTCATCTAAAGAAGATTATACATTAAAAGTAAGTGAATTTGAATTATAGTCAATCAGCTACAATGTAGAATGAAGCACATATAAGTATCGGTCCAAGTTGGTACACCTCATTAGCATAACAATGTTATCACTAAATTCATAGCACCCATTACTTCAATGGTAGTAATATATAAAAGAAAAATTGCATATAAGGACATAGTACAGAAAGAAAGAATTAGTTAGTAGAAAGATATTAAGTGATTTTAATCTCACGGTTTAAGGGAAGACAGAGAGTGTATACACCGACACCATTTTGATCGATTGTGAGTCATGTCACCAAGAGTCTCCAACTATTGGTTACGATAGTCACACGGAGCTCAACCAAGTAGTCTGCATCTATCAACATGGCTCAGACTAGAAGTTAGTGACTTCAAGGACTGAATTATAGTAGAAACTAGAAATTTCAGAAATAACTCAGTTTAACCAACAAATGTAATTTACTAAGATATGCTGAATGTTTTCGGTAATATAGCAGAAAAAGTTGCACATAAGATATGAAAGGACTCTTCTTAGATCTCAGATTCCCATATTCTACAATTCTTGTTGTAGCTTGACTAACTAGTTTGTTAACATAAATGACTTAATTCAATTTTTAGCACAACGATTACCCAGCTAAGCTTTGAGACTCGTGGATCATTCCCTGCTAATATTTATGACGTAGGCGAGATATCTGTCTATCAACCAAAGGACGTGTTTACTGCGCAGCAGTTCGCTCCGTCCTACTTTATGGCAGTGAAACACGGCCGGTAAAAGTAGAGGATATCCGTAGGTTACTAGTATTTGATAATAGGTGTCTTCGAAATATTGCTCGTATATCCTGGGACCATCGAGTAAGTAATGCAGTTGTTAGGAAACGGGTACTAAGTGAGGATGGCAAATCAATTGATGAAGTAGTGAAACTTCATCAGTTGAGATAGCTGGGACATGTATTACGTATGCCCAACGACCGACTGCCTCGATGTGCGACGTTTTGTTGTATAGGAGTAGATTGGAAGAAAGGTAGAGGCGGCCAGACCAAAACATGGTACAAGTCCATGAAGTCACTGACAAGTGGACTGAGTCATGCTGGTAGGTGTAGACTACCTGGTTGAGGACCGCGAGATGATAGCAACCAATGGTTAGAGACCTTGAATGACATGGCTCAAAATCGTTTGCAATGGTGTGCGCAGGTGCATCCACTCTTTGTGTTCTCCCAAATTCTAATCTTCTGAATTCTTCATGTCCCTTTCTTTTTTCTCTTTCCAAATTTATTTCACTGTATTATACTCCTTGAATAACATCTTCAAACCTTAATTTTTCTGATTACAGCTTATAATTTTACTACATCTAGCACTACGGGATTTGAATCGACCACTGCATCTCTGTGCAAATGTGGTGTGGCAACTCGAACTGATGTACGTACGTACGAAGTTCCACGTTGTTACTGACTGACTGCTAATATTTAGCCATCCGTCGTTGTAATTCAATAAAACACTAAGCTTCAGTCAACAGACAGGATACCAATAAGAAGCAAAATATTGACCCTGTAGATTATCACGTTTCAATTGACTCAGTGGTAGTATTACATAATAATATCCTTATATAGTCAATGGTCTAAAGTTAGAGAGTGTGCGTCAATCTTCTGAATTGAATGAAACATTAAGTAAAGAGATGGTTCATCAAACCGATCAGCTTTATGGGATTTCCTTCTCCTATGCATACTTTTTATTACAATTATAACCCATGGTATACTTTCTAATGACAATAAGTTATGAAACAATAACATGGACGAATGTTAAATTTACTTCATTTCTATTCACAAACTTAATATAGACCTCTCAAAGGTTGGAAAATTAAACAAGAATATCAACAAAACCATATTGAGAATGATAATTATATAGTGGGCTATAAAATTCACTTGGTGTCGTTTACTTGAATCTTCCGATTGCTGTTTATAACTGCAAATGATCAGTATCTTATTGGCATATATGAATCCTGTACTGATTGCACCAATATTGCCTTGATTTACAATCATTCTAAGCAAAAATGGATAATGGCTAACAGTGGAATCCAGGACGCATGTTTTGTCCCATTGAGAATTCGTTAGCCGGATGTGCCTACATCTCCGAGTGGATGTTCACTCTGGGACTCGAACCCAGTACCGTTCACTTCAAACGCTATCGCGTCGTCCACTTAGCTACTGAGTCCTGATATCCACTTGTTTGTGAGATCGGGTGAATTTTAATTTCCTCACCACTAGTCACTATCCACCTTTGCTTATAATGCTTGTGAATTAGGGCAATGTCGAGGCAATAAGCACAGTATGCAGATATGCCATTAAAATATTGATCAATTGCAGTTCTAAACATCAGTAGGAAGATTCAGGTAAACAACACCAAAACACTTTAAACTTTACCTCATTGCACAAGCACGTGGATATCAGGACTCAGCAGCTAAGTGGATAACACGATGGTGTTTGAAGCGAACGGTACACGGTTCGAACACGGGAGTAGATATCGTGTCTGAGTTACAGTTACATCCAACTGACGAATGTCAAATAGTGCGTGACTAGCGTCCTGGGTTCCACTGATAGCCAATGTCTATCTTTGCTTATAATTCGCAACTACAGTCTATACCTGTTAGAATCAAGATTTTAATTACTTTCAAAATACTAGAGGAGACAGTTTTGCTTCAACAAAGTTGTTTTTACGTCTATCAAGGCGTAGAAGTATAAAGTGTTGTCCATCTTTTTCACTGCTTCATTATGTCTGTTTTGCAGACAGATTCATAGTTTGATTAGTAAAACATCTGCATAACAATGTGTCCAAGTTCAGCAGATTAGTCCATTTATGCTTTCCTTTGTGACTATTTAGTGAACATTCTTCTGAGCAATCATAATACCTTTTAAAATAATGAGAGAAATTTCAAGCTGAGGTAAATGTTTTCGGTGGAGTTAACCCAAAAGCTTCATATCATTTCGGTCTAACTGCCTCGTTTGTGATTGGTAATCATTAGTTATGTTTGCTACATTTGCTCTTGAATGACTATCTTCTTCCGTTGATCTCTGATTCTATGATCGATTGAACTTCTCCACATATGGTAGTAGTCGTTACGGTCACTGATCACCAACTGATTTGAATGTCATGCTTCTAAAAATTCCTCGAGGTTCTTAGAGTTCCCATGACCCGCCATTTCGGAGCTTCTGCAATCGAATTCGCGCTCATAATTTCTCACACATGTATCAGCAACAATTTGAATTCAGTCACTGTTTATTTGTAATCATCAACAATCTTACTACTTCAGATGTTTTTCTTTCATTGGAATTGTGTGACAATTTACTCTATGTATCACGTAAATTTGACCCTGTAATTCTTCCTATTCACAGAAAAAACCCAGTTATTTTGAATGTTTCAGTTTTTAATATAAAATCTACTTTCCAGACTAATCTTTTGAATGATATGCTGGACGTTGTGGATTTGGAGGGTCGTTTAACAAGTTTTGAGAAACGTGTTGGCGATTTCGATCTGATCTGGGATGATGGTCCTATTCACCCTGCTTCTGATACTACAGAAGGTTGGTTAATCAATGCACTGAACACCATAAATCCGTTTAATTCAGAAAATTCATCGGAATCAGTACATGTGTTTGGACCTAATGGACTACCTAGACTTAACTCATTTCTTGGCTGTACTTCACGTCAATCAGCTAGATGTAAGTTGGACTCGAAATGTTAGTTTCTGGACAGTAGTACAAAGGTAATAAGAAATAATATAGATATTTACCATCCATTAAATTGTGTTCCACTGTATAAAAGTTTTCTTTGATATCAAAAATAAATATAATTCACAAGATAACTTTGATATTTTATTTTCTGGACAGTTCAATTACATTATATAGCAATCTGCTTATTTTAAGAAGAAGTTTGTTACTTCACAAATGTTTTGGTGTTTCCACTGGCAAAGCGAAGCAGTATTATATTCATAGTTAAACTGTCAGCTTCAATTTGAAGTCAGTTGGTAGAACGCATTTATATTATCCAGACGTTTATGGTTACCATATTAAGGAATTAATGCCACTATTTTATTTGTCCATTTTTTGGTTTTTTCCAACCCATTCATACACTAACGAACGTCGGTCTTCGAAGTAGGGGAATAAATGATAGTTTTGTATGTGTTGCATGATATTTTGGATTGATGGATCAATCCGGAACGGATTTTAGTCTTTAAGAACAGACAGTAGCTTGAAAACAGGATTTCATGTGAATACAGTTGTGATATTTTTATGAAATGATGGTTTAATTGTGCATTATGTTGCCTTTTATTCATAATTACACAATTATACCATATGCATTTATGGTCTTCTACCTATTGGCACTGATGTTTTCATAGCTACTAGAGTACGTTTCAGACAGAAGCTGGGACTTTTATACCATACATTGCATCCCATTCCAGTGTATAGTCTGATGCTGCAATCGAGTTATTCATTGGATGATTGACTGGTAATTCGAATGATATGGTGTTTGAATACTATACACATCGATAAAAAATTTGGTGCGACAACAGATATCAAAGGTGCTGACTTCCTATTTGGTTTTGTTTTCAGTTAGTTTCAAACTTGGAAGCAATTATTTACATTCAGGAATTTGCTTCAAGATCTCTTTGTCGATAACAGTGGGATTGAATATAATGTTTCATATTCCAAGGCTATTTTTAACCGGCGAGGTCAGAACGAGTATCCAGTCTACCTGCATATGGGTGTGATAGCACGAGATGAGGAAGGACAAGAATCATTCTAGACTAAGTCGTGTGCCATCAAATGACCAACTTCCGATCGAGGATGTCCACATCCCGGGGCTGACCAGTGGTAGTGATATGATGACGTCACAATCCACAAGATCGCAGACGTGGTTCTACGGAGAGGCGAGGACGCTCCCTACATTTGCCACAACCTGAAAGGCTACACGATCATGAGGGATCACGTTCAACAGCTTCATAGCCACGAGTGTTGGAAACTAACACTGGATGACCACTGAAGACAGGGAGGGATACTATTCGGGAGTCTGTCATTATCAAAGCATCTTAAGCATAGCAAACACCTGAAAAGTGAAGATCTTGGCTGAAACGAGGCACAGGACACTTGATATGTGTTAAAAGGAGAGCCCAGCATAAATGGAAATCTGCCTTACTGATTTTGATAACAACTCCTATCTGTCATTGAGAAATAAATGTGACATCAATGTTCGAGGCGACATAAAATATATACGAACCAAGCGAGCAGTTAAAGCACAAGCCAACCCAAAACATCTCTATAGGTTGTTGTCTAAACAAAAGCCTACAAAACAGGTGGGTTTGCTTCCTCGAAGTGCCTAACGGTGAAGATCTTACCAACACAGAGGTGGCTGAAATCTTAACTCTCAAACTCACCAATCACTTCAATCAGAATCAAACAAAAGAGGAACAATCCCCAACTCTGGTGAGAGTTGGTGCTCTAAGGAATTTCCATCCAACTCTCAGGTAAGCACTTGCAAAACTAAAGTGTTTGAGCTCAGCGAAATCATCAAGATATGACAAAATCCTCCCTGAAATTCCGGAACAGTGCACGAAAGCAATCAGTTCATCAGTATGCGAGCAGTTCAGGCACTCGCTAGAGTCACAGCAACGTCCAAAATATTAGAAACAGTCTACTGTCTCTCAAACCTTCAATGCAAGAGATAGGAAAGTAGCAGCTTGCTGTAGATCAGTCACATTACTCTCAGTGCTATTGAAGAAACTGGTTAATGATTGATCAAGGGAATGGATGGACGAAAACAATGTTCCCCACGTAACCTTAAGTAGTTTTAGGAACGAAAAGTTCTGCTTGTCCAATCTTCCTATAGAATGGAGAATCTGAGTAACAGCTGGGACCGAACGATACTGGTCTATTTTATATCCACAGACACCATGTAAGCTTTTAACACGCAACGACACTCACTTTTCACAGTGAACGTCAAGAAGATGGGTTTCACATACTGACGCCACTTTATTCGTAGCTTGAACTGCCAGCGCGAGTTGAAAACGCTTTTGAGGACAGCTTGTTGCTGTTGCTTCCTATTTTCATGAAATTTCGTTTTGCGATAGCATTTCATGTTAGTTTTCTTGTGGGATGAGCCTGTAGAATTATGGTCTACTATGATATTAGTGCTGCTCTAATAATAGACCTAATCCTAAATTTGTAGATCTGTCATGATATAACTGCCTAATCTATAAGATCTTACGCGGAAGTCACACCATCGGCTACATCAACTCATCAATTACCAGTACATTATGTAGAACAAGGTTAGGCTAGAGAAGGAGCAATATATTTAATATGAATAGAAGATATAAGATAACATTCAGCAGGGACCACGCCTGCATGGCCGAGCCATGCCGTTCGATCAACTCTAGTCCATTCAATTCATTGTTCGCGCCTTCTCCATTGTTAGGTATTTCTCCGCGTTAAATATTGAATATCTATTTTCTGAGTAGTCTCGTGTTCACAGCTTTGTGGATTGTGTGGCTATTGTCCAATGCCACTACAAGCTACTAAGGTCAGTATATTAGAGTTGTGAGCCAGACTTTAGTAGTTTTAGGGTCGTGAGTTATTGGTAATTATTGGTGATTTTGAGCCAGTATTTATCAGTTCCATGGTTTGTTCATCTGGAGAATCCCAGTTTTTTTGTTTATTCTCTCTGAGACCTGCGAAGGCATTGGGTATTCTGTATGGATATGGGAGACACTAGATACGCCAGGGAACCTCAGTATAGACATTATCAGAATACCACTGTCACTTACCTAAAGGCAACCTCATAAAAATCGGGCATTAGAGAACGGAGAGTTAAGTGCTCCCACACCTCACAACAGCTTTCAGAATAATAGAAACAGAATACCCTCTCTCTATTCGTCTACAATATCGAAGCTAGTGGAAGAACTAGCCAAAGACCAAATGAGTGGATACATGGGCAAACGTAACGTCCTCAATGAATTCAGAACGGATTTAGAAAGGTCAGGTCTTGTGCATCCGATCTACTCATAGAATGTTGGGTTAAACGATACCAGGCCATTTACTATTCGTTGACTTCTCGAAAGCGTTTGATACTGTGTCCCAAGCAATCCTCATAGATTAGGTCGTAGATATAAGTTTCTCGGACCCACTCCTATCTTGGCTCCGAAACTTACCGGGGAACAGGATGTTTAGTACCAACGTATAGTGAGTGCACACAACCTTTTGGGTTTCAATACCAGGAGATTCAAAAGAGAATACGTCATGTCCACTACTCTACACAATCATCATTGATGACATTTAAGAAAAAATAAGTTCTGCGGTACTAAGTTACGCAGACAATGCAAAGATATGGAGGTCCACCTTAAATTCCACAATGTCGTTGCAACCCTATTCTTTGAAAGAGACATAAATCACGAAAATCAATAACATAGATGGGCAAAGAAGTGGATGATAGAACTAGGGAGGAAATCTTACGAATATAGATCCAAATATCTGAGACTATGCCCGCTGACCTGTGGAAGGATAAGTGATCTGATAGTGGCGTCTAACACACGTAATTTGTCAAGTTGCTCTAACATGAACATCCGACCAGGACATGCTCCTCGATTCAGCCCCCTGGAAATTGTACATCAAAGAGCGCAAACCCAGGTTCGCACCCACATGTCCTCAGGATGTGTTTCCCCTATCTGAAATTCTATCCCAGCTGAAGTAACCACATCCACATCGGTGGATAGCTTGTGAGGAGACTTGACAAACAAGTATTGACAAATGTATTGCAATCTCCCTCTTGGACATTCTGGACCAGGCACATGTAATCATTACACTCTACTAACTTATTCTTTTCTAGTCTGTTATCGCTTCTGTCTTATTTTTTGAAATCCGGCCTTCCCATACCTTCAGGATTACCATTTACTAAACTTTGTCTATTTCTTGAAACAATTGTCTACACTGGGCTACTGAGTATTTGGGTCTTCACTATATTATTTTTCACATTGCAACGAACCAACATCTTGTCTGGTAATTCAATACCCGCCAGCTCTGGAAACCCTACTGCCCTAAGACAAACACATCCACTAAGGTTACAAAATAAATAAACCCACAAATAACTACCAAAATGTTTAGAACCAGTGTAGTTGTTAGACTACCAATAGTCTGGAATCGTACCGAAACAACAAGAAGCGATCACAAAGGAATCTATCGGCCTATATAATATTGTCACAAAATCACTTGATATTGGACTCAATTTTGTTTAATGTAACTAATGTTCAAGTAGTGCAATCAAATTTTGGGACCAGCTCTGGCGCATAGGTTGTACTGTTTCCGTGCTAGGAGTTAACTTTCTGGCTTCCTACTCTACAATTACCAGCTACAGCCCGTTTTTAATTTGTGCATAGTATTGATGTGTGGTGTGGGATTTTGCCGTCGTATTCACCAGAACTTATGCATATGCTTAGCTATATACACTCTATTTGAGTATCGTATTCCGTGTGCCCACTGTCATGATCGTGATGCTACGTTAAATAAACATTCAAGTGTGTTGTTTGCATCACTTACAAATGATAGCGAGTATATGGACAAAGAAATGCTCGTGAATTTCCTGAAGTCTTTGCATCTGTACGAAGAATCTCCCCATGAGAACGATTCCAAAGAAGACAAGGTTAGTCATAGATGACATCACTTACGGGATATCTCGTGCATTTTCATGAACTGACACTGATAGACATAACTTGCCAATTCGTCAGCTCGATCCTGGTAAATACGTTTCCTGAAGAACATTTACCAAACATTTTGCTCAAAATCTCCCTATTTTGGGGAAGTTTTTGTCCGTTTTGGGTAAATTTTGGGAAGCCGCAGTAGAAAACTTTGAAGTTTTTTAGAAAAGGCACAAAGCCCCCAAAATTTTCATAGGTTTGGGGAAAATCGCGATGCTTTATGCATCAACGTTTTCTACGTATAACTTCATTTTAGATTGCGTAGTATTTTTGTCATTATCTAAGTGTTTTGCACGTCACTTTTCTACCATTCGTCGTCGTTCCCTTTATCTTTGTTGATGCAGCTCATTCTTTGAATGTTCTCCTCTCTTCGTGCATATACAGTTTTACATTGTTGTGCTACATCAAGATACACTCGCTCTTCAAATCTATGTATGATTCTTCCGTTTGCAGGATCTTCGGACTATCGTCATGTACATCATGTAATGGACTTCACAAACAACGAAGTACTTCCCTGTGCAGAACTTTTCACTTTCCCGTGTGATGAAAACGTTTTGTTTTATTGTGTTATATTAGTAATTTCCAAAAAGAATTTCTTACGCTTAAACCATGTGTAAGGTATGGCTGTTTATGGTGTAAAGTGAATTCAATCTTATTGGTTCTTGTCCGAAGATTGTTTACTGCCATAGAGACTAACAGTGGAAAGGTTATCTTCGTTTTCAGATCACTTTCGTTCCAATAGATTTCTTATCCATCGCTTACTGTGTGTATCGTAACATCCAGAGATTTTAAAATCCATTTTCAGTCCCGAATAAAAGCCAGATGGTTTGCTTTATCACACCTGGTCTACCAGGATATGATAGGTCTTTCTGAGTATAGCTAGGTCTCGCTATTTTGGTTTCCTGATTTGAATATGTACATGTGGTCAGAACGTTTATGGTTTTCCTTATTTATTTCAGGTTTAATGATATACGATTTGCCATCCAGTGGTGTGTTAATTTTTCTCAATCACTAAGCCCTGTTTAAATAAACGTTATTGTACTCTAGATAATGTGGATTTAGCTAGGCTGTAGGATATGATCTTATGGCCTACTGAATGCCAAACTGTTCTTTGCTTCTATAAACTTAATTTTCAGTGAAACTAAGGTATGCCTCGATTTTTTCAATTCTACAGGTTGTTTAGTAGTTCTTACCTACTGTTAGTAACATGTTACCTTTACATCTGTACTATTTAGTGTTTCACGGCAAGTGAAATGTTCGATTTATTTTCTCCCAATCACTCACATCTAAACCAAACGGATTTTCATGCGTTGTTGCCGACTATCGTTTATGAGTTAAAAACTGGAGTTTGTAAGCACAATCATGTACACGAAGTAGTTCCTTCAACGCACGAGTTCAGTTGGAAAGGTAAGTTGACCTTAATTCAAAATAAATTTATACCACAATTTTAAATCGTCGTCCTTTCCACGTTCTCTTTTTCTCGTTTTGGTATATTTCTCACGAATTCATCTCTTCAGTCACGAAATTAGTATTTATAAATTGAAATTTATACAGCTGATAACCGTTATTTTGATATTGTACCGTGAAATTGAAAATTCCTGATTTCGTCAACTTAAATCTTGCCCGTCTACCAACCAAGCAACAAGTATACTGTGTGCTCAGTATTTATACCATCAAGTTGTCTAGAAAAGTAGAATCTGTGTGTGGACTGGAAGTATCTTATCATAGGTGCCTTCTAGACATTAGTCACATAACGTAGTATCATGTCATGAGTAATGTTGGGACTCGTTGTGGAGTATCAATTAACAATGCCAATTCAACTGTTCAGGCTACAGACCTTTATCGACTCAGGTGGTTAAGACATATGTAATGCATGTTCAGTCCACTGCTGACTGTCGTAGAAGTAGGTTAGCCAGCCGGTAGCAACGTGCGATTGAAGATATATTATCATCCCCTAAAGACATAAACTGCTCTCAACTGTTAGCATATGTGAGCTTTTTAGTTTGGGCTTGTTCAGTAGCCCTAATATACGGCTGCAAACGTTATTTGATAAGTCAAATTTCATTTCGGCGACACATTTGTGTTCATTTATTACCAAGATTTAAATCCTCGTTCTTTTTTCTCGTTTTGGCACATTTCTCACGAATTCATATCTCTTTAACCCTCAAATGCCCTGGTACAGCTGACGCTGGGGAGAGTCAGCTTTCTCTCTCGAAATGTTCTCACATGGCCACGCGTATACAACCGCTGCCAAGGAAGTCTTACTCGTTGCCTTCTCGCGGCGGGGGGTGTTGTTTACAAAATTGAGAATCTCCTGTGCTTTAATTAGGTTGGTAGATATGGAGGATCTATTCAGGGAAGTTGGAAAACCCTGATTCCAAACCAATGGTGCACATGGGCTCCTGTATTCTTAGGGAAAAAATGTCGTACAAACCAATTATTGACCACTGGCTAACATGGAACTGCATCTCCTGACGTTGCTCCACTGCCTTGTGCATTGGACCTTTACGTCAAAGACTCCGGAAGTGACCCCCTAAGGAAACCAATCGCTTCGGCCTGAAAACCCGGGTAGTATCGCAGCCCACACACAAATCAAGTGACTTGTGTGGCTCATAAGTATTCGGTGCCCCTTTGTACCAATATTTATGTGTTCAAATAAATATAATTGCATCCATTATCTGTCTTTCTCTTCATCTTGAGTTTGGCATTATTTCGTGCTCTTATATCTGGAATCCCCCTTCTCTTTTGACTATATTTCTCATACTTAGCTTCCCGTTAGACCTCATATTACGTACCTTCGACTTCAATAAGATGATGCCCTCTCGTTCTGATTTTCGGGTTTCTCAGCGATTTCAGATATATTTGCGGCATATCATACGTTAACTGAAATTTTAGAACATATGTCGATAATTTCTGTTATCCGTTCTAAATCTCTTAAAACTCGGGAATGCTTATCCGTTTATGTATGTATTTTGAATCCTGGCCCAAAGTAATGGACCTTTACGAACAGAAAATGTTGTTTCTTGTTTTCCCTCAGGTCTGTTATGCTGCTTTTATTGAATTCGTTTTTGTGTAGTAACTTGCTTACAAGTTCAATATGTGTAGACATAGGAATATAAATTGATTTATTTTTCAACATATCATACACATTTATGTTTTGTATCGTAAATGTGGGAATTTGTTTACTTCGTATTTACATGAGTTCTTTGGCTCATTAGTTTTTAATTACTTTATTTTTTTAGCCTTTCTAGCTGCAATCGGTGCTGTGCTTTTGGTGAGCTTTTCAGGACTTATTGTTGTATGTTTGGTACCTCTAATGTCCCGAAGTTTTTACAATGTTGTAACTCAATTCCTTATAGCGCTTGCAGTTGGATCACTTGCTGGTGACGCCTTTCTTCACTTAATACCTCATGTAAGCGTGTTTAATATAATAACAAAAAAAATTCAACAGCTTTGTTTGATAAAACGTTTACGTATGTTGAGCTTCTAGACTCTTATGATATATTGTATTTATGTCTTTATAAGTGAGTTTATGTACATTTCGACTGAAGTTTTCATTTACAGTGAAACGACACTTTTATCGTCCTGCTCCTTCGATTATATCACTATTTATCAACTGTAGTATTCGGGCACACAGACTCGGCTCCCTGGATTGTAAGACTGTCAGTTTGATACGATACTCAAAGTGTAGGCTTTAAAGTCAAGTCTTAATTGACTGGTGAACGAATGACCTACAAATTAATTTCCTCCAATCACCTATGACATTTCATCATGTTTATTTCGTGCCTATATTTCGAATATAATCGTATTATTTATTACATGGAGAACCATTTATCCGGCTAATGGTCTTGTCCTTGATCTGTAATCATTCGAGAACTTAAGTTAATTATACGGTCTCGTGAGTAGCCATCATTCAGCCACATTATATAATCGCGTTCATCTACCGATCATCATTCTATCCAATGATTTTAACAATCAAACCTCACGTCATCCAGAAAACGCGTAAAATAATACAGTTTTAGACGTGTCCCATTCTCTAATTGTTTTTCAGAATGCTTTTTAGAATATCAGGAAGATACTTGATGAATAACTCCAATTGTTTCAATAAATTAAAGAGAACGATTGTATCAGGACGTAACATTCATTTCATAGATTTTCTCCGTCTGTTTACAACCTAGAAGCAACATGTATACTTCATGTCCGAATGATTGTTCAAAGATTTGTGTATTTGTAGGTTAAATACATGAGTATTCTAAAAGACGACACTAAGAATAACATAGAAACAAGGTTTTTAGAAATTGAAGTTTACGTCATAATTTATGCAGCACTTAAGGAAATTGACTGAGTACAGCGTAGATGAGAAGTAAGGAACTGTGATTTGGGCCATGGAAGAAATATCACGTAAAGGTTCACTCAAATAAGATCATCAGGATAACATAATACTGGTAACTGTGTGTTTGGATGCTGAGATTTGGATTAAATTTTTTTGTAACAACAACTTCAACAAGGCATAATAAAATCCAAGTCTGGTTTACTGGCTATCCTAAAGAATTATGAGACACCATCACATCCACTGTCAGTCGAATGACGAGTAATCTCACTCATAAGGATATGTCCTGTCTTTATGGAAAGCTTTGAGATGTTGACAATAACTCTCTTTGGTTTTCTTCCAGTGCATGTAAACTGATAGATAATTATAAGTAACATAAATTGGGAATTTGTGAATGTTTGCTTGTTTCAATGAGCAATCCGACTGGTACAAGACTAACTTAGTGGCTAAATACGTTATAAAGTTATAGTTTAAATCTATGTAGTTTACAAAGGCATCAATCATTATTTGTCAAAAGAATCTAAAGTTACGAACAAGAAAATAGTTGCATTAAAGTAATCTAGTCACAGTATGTGTTGAGGTTTCGTGCAGACAGATATATTCAAGGCTCATTTTAGTAATAAGTGTATCTCGTGTCACAATAATTAGTATCTTTATTAAAATGTTAAATACTGTTATGTAAACAACAAGCTTAGAAATCAAAAACGAGTCTCTAGATATGTGTATTTCTGTCCATTCATCACTAGCAGATGTATAGGCCAAAACCAAGTTTAAAGTTTTAAATTGAGGGGTATAAATTTGACTCAGTCTTCTAGTAAACTAGGTTCATTGCGTATATAGTGATCTTTTATTTCGAAGGATATGGAGTTTTAGTGGTCCATTGTTTAGTCTCTCTGATTACCAGTCATTCGACTTTGTGTGCTCTTAGTTTTTCTCAGTAGGTTTTCATATATAGAAGCAGCTATCAGTCGGTTGTATCCTATAATCTCGTAGGATGGATTCACTATTATTTAAAGCATTTCTATGTGACTGATCACTTAAGAAGCAGTTTTGTATATGCTTATAGTTCATGAGGTTTATTGGTGAGTTCATTTTATGTTTTTGAGTTAATAATCAGCTGGTGAATAGTTTACATCACTTGAAGTATGAACTAGCTAGTAATTAATTTCTATTATCGACACCAGGTAATACTGTTGTATCGACAGGTTATCGCTTGTTTTTTCTCATTGGACGACAACATCTATTGAGATTATAATTTTCTTGTTTTCAGGCTTTTTCTGGTGCTGGACATATCCATCACAACCATGATCACGAAACTAATATTGTTCATGAACATATTGACGAACATCACCACGAATCTATATCATCAACAAAACTCAACTCGCACCGGAAAATGATTTTGGAGGCGCTCATAGCTCTACTAGGCATTTATATATTTTTCTTAACTGAGCGGCTTACCATCATCTGTCAAAATAAAATGTCTAGACGGAAGTTGAAACGTCAACATGTAAGTGTATTCATTTACCACACAAATATATATATATATATATATATATATATATATATATATCGTCATTTCATTCTATTTGTGTGTGGGCTGTGATACTGCTCGGGTGCCCAGACCGAGGCAGGTGGTTTTCTTAGGAGGCCCCACCCCGAGTCTTTGACCTAAAGGTCTGACCCACAAGGCAGTGGAGCATTGTGAGAAGATGCAGTCCCATGGTAGCCGGTGACCAACAGTTGTCTCATAGGCCATTCGTTCCCTCAGGATACTGGAGCCCATGAGCACCATTGGTTTGGGATCCGGTTAAAGCGCCGCACATTCGCTTTTCGTCCTCTCATTTTCGTAAACAATACCTCCGCCACGAGAAGGCAGTGAGTAGGACGTCCTGGCAGTGGCTGTATACGCGTGGCCATGTGAGAGCATTTCGAGATGAAGGACGGGCTCTCCCCACTCTCAGCCATACCGGGGCATTTGAGGACGTATTCATTTACCTGGTTTTCTGATTTGAACTTGAGTTACTTTTAGACTTTATGTTTGACAAAGCTGCTTTGAAATCGAACTTTGAGCTACTGATTTGCATATTCACTAAAAATATGACTTGTATAGGCTTAATAAGATAGATCTCAACTTGCGTTGGTGGTATGATGCTTGTAGTCACCTGCGGTTGCTCACACTTTTGTGCACAAGCAAATACTGTTTGGTAAAAATGAATGACGTTTTCAAATTATTTCAATTTTGTATTTGAATAGTTCATGATGAAGTTAAAGATCAATAAGAAAAACGGATATAAACATTTTAGGCTTTCCTGATTAGTTTCCGTTGTCTATTTATTGTTATTAAACTCATGTTCTATGAGGTGAATATAAGTTTTTTAAAGAAAACAGATTTAGGTCACCACTCCATTCGTGATTTGAGATATATCGGTTAATGAGGTTTAGATATCAGTTCAGTCACTAAGTTCATTGTCGAGCGTTCGTGTAAATTCAAGAAATTATTATTTCTACATCATGTCATACCAACATTTTAGAATGATATTCCTTTTCTTGTTTTTTTTTTTTAATGGAAATGATTGATTGTGAATTTGTCTAAGCGCTCGCGCGCGAGTCTGATAGGCCCTGGGTTCGAATCTCGCGAGGATACGGGATCGTTGATGCGCACTGCTGAGGAGTCCCACAGTAGGACGAAACGGTCATCCAGTGCTTCCAGGTTTTTCATGGTGGTGTAGCTTCAATTGACTCATAATCTTAACTATTTAAGTAATTTTCTTTGTTCGACTAATTTATTCATATCCTCTAATATAAATCTTTTATATATTCATTAGAATACGTGACAAAAAATACAGTCCTATTGAATTGGTTTAATTGTACATAAATAGTATATATATAAATATACCCTATCGATTCATAGGCTCAGCAATAGTATGTGAGATTATTGTAAAAACGAATAAATGGGTTGCAAATTGTTTTTATCAATGATTACTATGCACGTTATAGATTACAGTAATTTGACGATTTGAAAGGTAGATAAAAGTTAAAATGGTATAAGAATTCTGAAATGCATTTACATTGACCATATTATGTAACTGATCGTTTGCATAGGTTATACAGATTAGTTAAATATATAACTGAAATAGCAAGTGCAGTTCGAGCTATAATGTTAATTAATATAACAGAGTAAACCAAACTAATGAACTGAAACAAAAGACACAATCGGAACGGAATGCTTGTTTTTTAAATATAACAGATTCCGAGTTCCAGTAGTCGTATATAAGATGTTATCAAGTGTCAACTTAGCTCTGGAACTACTTACTTTCCTAGTATAAATGGGATTTGATATTCCTTAAAAAACAAATTCAGATAAATATCTACTATCTAACTAATGTAATGTATCCAGCCAAAATATGCATATCATATATTTAGTATCAAACTAATTGCAAAACAGCGAAATATAATTAAATATCACATTAACAGTGCGATAAAACGTGCGAAGAAACTATTTTCATCGGTTCTTATAAACAAATGTAGAATGTAAATAGCAGTGGACGTTTGATGAAAACCACGTCCGGATGATTCCATGATAGCTAACTACTAACTTATTGTTTTCAAGCCTCACGAAACCCTAAATCTATCATTACAAGATCATTGTGTACATTATGTACAAAAGCAATTCGAATATCAGACAGAAAATTCATTTCACTTTGATCTACTGATCTGTATGTTCACTAAAAATATCACATATATTGTGGTGCGTGCTACTTATATTGATATAAGTAGTATATTATGCGAGTCAGGAATGTAATGTCTGGCAGCAGAAGATGAGGGAAGATCAAGAAAGCAAGAAAGGGAATAGAATGCAATTTGTATGAAAATGTAAGAACAATGAAGTCTGAGGCATTTTGAGACAATTGGTAGACATTTTGCAAATTAACGATTTAATATATAGTTCTCAGATTTTATTGAGATGCTCTGTAATATTGTGTCAAACATATCCTGTTGTCCCCACCCGTGTTCTGTTCACTGCAATATCATCCTAATAAGGTATATCTTCAGTCGTGTTAGAGGTGTGAGATCTGTAGTCACCTGCGTTTATCCACTCTATGATAAGACACTTCTCGAAAGATCTAACATGGAAACTAGACTACATAATATTAATATAGCCCAAATGGGTCACCATTACACACAAGCCTGATCACCATGATAAGATAGAGACTATGCTGTAGAAGCAGGTTCTAAGAAAGCTAAGGGTGTCATCAATCCGATATGGCACTAACTGTCAGACTAAGTCCTGTTTGTAGATGTAGACTGATTGATTAGGGTTTTCACGATTATGCTTCGGTTTGGGCACCCGAGCAGTATCACATCCCTCAAATAATTCAAATGAGATTTCTGTGGCTCATATGTACTTGGTGCCTCGTTGTACCAATATGTATGTGTTCAAATAATAATAAGTTGGAAGTATCAGCTCGGGATCAGATTAATGACTGAAAGTCGAACGCCCTAACTAATCACTAGGACATCGCTCCCACGTCCCATACAGTAGTTGCAGTTAAACTATATCGCACTGAGAAATTCATCCGGATTTTATCACTATTCTTTTAAAAATGGAGGTCAAAAGAGCAATTATTTCTGTCTGGCATTTAACACAATTCTTCATTTTAAGCAGCAAAGTATCGTACTTATGCCTTGTCACTTTTATGAGTTGAAAATACTCTATAAATTCACTACACATAACTTGGCAAGTAAGGAATCACAAATAATCATATATTATGATTAATCAATATGAGAATTCTAGACAGATGAGGTCAAATATCTTTTTCTTACAGTGTGTGTGACAGGGTGATTGTGCAAAATATGCTCTCTTTAACAAATTCATGACACTAGTAACTACTTAAACTATTTGTTAAATAAATAGGTTATCAGCTAAACTTGCCCCTGAAAGCCGTAACACATCAAATGATTCGGTCACGGCTGGTTGGTTGGTTGGTTGGTTGGTACAATAGGGATTCATCTGTCTGCTGTGTTCTTATTCCATTCTAGTCATCAGACAAAAGAAGATGGAAAGCTTAATCTTGAACTTATAGGCAAAATGTATTGATCTCGGTCGTTATCTCATTGTCATTGAACTAGTGGCCATGCAGGAAATCTAGGCGAGTTAATCAATAATTGGACTACATAGAATAACTGTTCTCAGAATAATAGCCCGACCACATGGTCCTCGACATAATACGAAAATCGTTATCGAGACAGATGTGCAATTGAAACTTTGATGAATTGATCCAAACTTTTCGTCGTAGCTTTCATTTCAAACTAGTTTTTGTTTCTTCCTTTTTTTTTACTTTCTTAGACTTGATAAGGTTTTTAGCGTTAATACTATTCAGTTGATAGTAAACGATTATTTCTTCTCCTTATCTGATTATTCGTTGTAACCTGTTTTGATGGTTTGATCTGTCTGTCTGTTTGCAATTAAGTCGAAATTATGAAAGTTAGAATTGTGACAAAATGAATGCTTCTTATGTTTGTTTTTTTTTTCTTGAATGAATCAGAAGTTTTAATTTATTGTCAAAATTGTTATTTTATGTAGATTTGTACTTTCTTAATTTTTGTCTACGGATCAGCTACCTTCTAATCATCCGTAATTCACTAGACAATACATAAGACTGTAGTCAGTTTCTACGTATGTCTAATTCATTTTTATGTTTATCATTCATTTGTAGACACCTATTCATTTGCTGTAATGGGCAGTGGGGCTTTAACATTTGGTCATCGTGTATGATCTCACTTACATTGACTTTTTAATTCCCTCTAACATTTGTTTTTTTCTTTTAGAGTACTGCATTGAACGAAAGCCAGATGTGTAATTGCTCTCCTGAACGACCCATGGATAATAGTCGTTGCGTAGATTATCTTAATGAAAAGCAAATAAGTACGTAATAAATTTTATTCAAATAATTTTTAAAGAGTACTCTTTTTGCCTGTATATTATTTTTAATCTTGAAGAAGTGCTTATATAATGAACACTTTCTATGGAGTAATTTATACTTAATAGATTTGTCTTGAATTCTTGAGGTTATATGCGCAACAATACATAAAATGTGGTACCAAAATTACAAAAATTGAATTTTAGAAAACCCAATATAAACCAAGAACAGTTGAGTTTCTAAGGATATTACAATAAGATACTGGGTTTAATAGGAAAAATGATTGAAGAGTATTAACACGTTCATAATTTACAAAAAAAAACAACTGACGAATGAATCCAATAGCATCGTATTAACCTAGTCACCTATGGTTCGTGTCTATCGATTTCTGTTTCATAATCTGTACTCGAAATAACATAAATTCTGGTGTTGTTGGTGAACACAAATAAACCACACAAAATAATTAGCAGTATCACAATCGGGGGTTTGTGGAGGTTGTGGTAATTTAATGGTTGAATTCGTCAGACGATTTAAGCTGGACCATCATGGAAAACTTGGAAGTCCTAGTTAGGGACTCTAGCAGTGCGCAATATCGTGGTTTGGTTGAGGTCAGACATTAATACCGTTAGATACCGGCTCAATGATACTGAGAGGGATTGTTCACTGATGGGTACCGTTCTTATGAAGCTGTCCTTCATGACAGAGTAATTTACAAACTGACCCCGTTGCCTCTGTTCTCACCCCGCCCTAGCATCGGAAAATAATGTTCAATGTGGAGTTCACTGGAACGACATTCATAAAACATGGCCAAACCATCGGTGTCGGTTTTTCAAGATGGTAACATCAACTGTATGATCGTCATTGCACTGGGATACATATAACTGGACATTGGCATTACTAACATGGTGTTCGCAGTGGATGCAAGCAATCCTTCGGAAACAACGATTGTTTAACACAAAGAATCGTTTTGCACCCTGAGCTCATAAGGTCTGAGTTTGACAAGTATAAAACAAAAGTGCATTTAGGGACACGTTATAAGACCGACTACAGATAGACTAACATCAAGACGGTACCACAGATGGCCCACATTATCGTAAGCTTCTCTATCTTTCGTCATACATGGGTTGATCCCATCTGGCAGGTCGCCACTAACGTTACTAGTACTCACGCAACTACTAATATGGATGAATATTTCGACCATTTTGACAGTTCGTCACAAAGAGAGTCCAGACAATGATGAGAAGGAACAGTGACATTGTGCAACTCTGTCTAACTCCACTCTTGGACTGCAATAATACAGACAGGTGGTTGTAAACTTTTACTCTTCTTGGTCTATTTATTTATTTGATACGATATATGTTCAATACATCCGCGATTTAAATGAATACCAGCCTACTCCAAACTAGTAAATCATTCATGAATTTTGCACAGTCTGTGAATCATTATAGATACCATCGATTAATATCGCAGAAACTAGGTATACCTTTTTTGAAAATGGGAACGTTAATTTCTCAGATTTCCAGATCCTTTCAAACAATCTAGTCATTGCACTGCCCACATATTCGTTACCGTTCTTAGAGAAAACCGGTTGTAGGTCTTCTGGTCTTGGTGGTTTGCGACACTTTAAAAGCTAGAGTTTCTTAAGAACCCGTGCCTCTATAAGCGTTTCTATTGTCACAGGTTAATGAGCAATCTAATTCATGCTGATAGTGAAGTTAATTTATCCCTCGAATTCTTCTCCTTAGCTTTCAAGACAACTTGGAAGGTTACTAATTCTCTAACTATCAACCTCACAAAGTTTTTCTTTGACACTAGACTTCTTGTAACTTGTGATCAGAATGTGTAGGAGTATTTTCCGTTAATTACCAAATGTATGTGCTGCTTTCAAGTCATCAGCACACTTTGTCCACATATTAAGACGAAATAAATATACGAGATTACGTTTTTAACTGATTGTGAACTTTGTTGAATGGTATTTCCTTTATTTAATATTGTATGATAATTGCTCAGTGTATTATTTGTTTAATTTTCGGATAATATTCTGTGTATTAATTCAGTATGAACTTCGTTCATTTGCCATACACTTGGGGCTGTGTAACAATTGCCAATTACTCACTAACTGTGATTATAATTAACCTAAAAATGAGTGTGTCCGTTAAAGTGTTTGTTGTATTTTTGTAGAGTCATTAACATTCTTTGTCCATATCAGTGTTTGTCGTATATTTGGATCACATGAATCACAGTTGTTTCCACTTCAAAATAATTCACATTTACATCACTAGACTTATTTATCCCCTGTAACAAGCTTTGTGAAATTTCATATTTGTATCGCCAAACTCACGATTATGTGAACTAGATTGGAATACTTCAATGAGTCGTAAGAAGCCTGCAAAACTCAAAACTCATAAACAGGACGTTAAGCAGAGCCTAAAGCGACTTTACTGACCATATTTTTGAAATAATACAAACTTGGCTAGTGGGTGCCTAGGATTTTCACTAAATTAATAGCCATCCTTAAACGTAATTTGGTTTGATATTTAGTTGCAATGGAATATACAGTCAATTTACTTGTATCAACCCGTTTAAGACAATCTGTTAAGTAGCTACCGACAAGCAGGATAGGCTTGGTACATGCAAGACGGTAGTAAAAATCAATATGTGTACTCCGAAATAAGCAAAATCTTGTACGCAGTCATGTTTGCAGTAGCTGATCACAAATTGATCATTCAGAGTCAAGGTTTAGGTTACAGAGTGTGGACGCCCGGTAGTATAGGCGATAATCGTGTCTTTTTTCACTTCAAGGGTTTAGGAAAAGTGAGCTTTCTCTTTCAACATGCAACTCATACTACGAAAACATGACTCTCCCTTGTGTTGTTTGGATAAGTTATGGTGTATAACAGATGAATAGCAGTTGTTCTTGTAAGACTATATTCGTCCGTAATCATCAAAGAATTTGAGATTACTTGTACTAATGTAAATAGGTTTGTATTCAAACATAAATTCATCAAGTCTTGTCTCATAGTCAGTAATTTTTATATATATTCAGTCTTCGCTAGTTCATGAATCTCAACTTCTTTTGCAAATAAACATCCAGTTGTGACGTTTGCTATATTTTGAGTTCGTGACGCTGATGGTAGTAGTTTCTGATGTAGCGGCAGAAAATCGGATACTTGTATTATGTTGAGGATCGTGTGATTGGGTTATTATTCTGAGAACAGTTGTTCTATGTAGTCCAATTATTGATTAACTCGCCTAGATTTCCTGCATGGCCACTAGTTCAATGACAATGAGATAACGACCGAGATCAATACATTTTGCCTATAAGTTCAAGATTAAGCTTTCCATCTTCTTTTGTCTGATGACTAGAATGGAATAAGAACACAGCAGACAGATGAATCCCTATTGTACCAACCAACCAACCAACCAACCAGCCGTGACCGAATCATTTGATGTGTTACGGCTTTCAGGGGCAAGTTTAGCTGATAACCTATTTATTTAACAAATAGTTTAAGTAGTTACTAGTGTCATGAATTTGTTAAAGAGAGCATATTTTGCACAATCACCCTGTCACACACACTGTAAGAAAAAGATATTTGACCTCATCTGTCTAGAATTCTCATATTGATTAATCATAATATATGATTATTTGTGATTCCTTACTTGCCAAGTTATGTGTAGTGAATTTATAGAGTATTTTCAACTCATAAAAGTGACAAGGCATAAGTACGATACTTTGCTGCTTAAAATGAAGAATTGTGTTAAATGCCAGACAGAAATAATTGCTCTTTTGACCTCCATTTTTAAAAGAATAGTGATAAAATCCGGATGAATTTCTCAGTGCGATATAGTTTAACTGCAACTACTGTATGGGACGTGGGAGCGATGTCCTAGTGATTAGTTAGGGCGTTCGACTTTCAGTCATTAATCCTTCGGTCCAAACACCACTCCATTTACTCCAATTCGGGCAACTGAGTAGTTTGATTAGCTTCCACAATTAGAGTGTAACTCGTGTTCAAGTACCTAGTGAATTAGTTAATTTAATTTAATTATTTATTATGGAACCTACATCCAGTAATAATCAGTGTATAACTTGATACGAATGCTTGTTCGATAAAGTTGACATACCACACCGGGATGACGATACGAAATGAACATACGACTAGCGAAGGAGTAGGAATCACATGATGGCAATGATAATGATAACTAAACATTGAGAGTGTGTTTTGAGAAGGAGAATAACAATAACTGAAAGGCTATGCACGAAGGACCACTAGCAGTCGTGATCTGGAGGAAGAGAAAGAATGGATGCACCTGGGCCATTGTGACTGATCCCGAGCTGATACGTCCTCCAACTATCAACAGCAATGATTGTGCAAACCCTAATCAATCAGTCTACATCTACAAACAGGGCTTAGTCTGACAGTTAGTGCCTTCATGGATTGATGACACCCTTAGCTTTCTTAGAACCTGCTTCTACAGCATAGTCTCTATCTTATCATGGTGATCAGGCTTGTGTGTAATGGTGACCCATTTGAGCTATATTAATATTATGTAGTCTAGTTTCCATGTTAGATCTTTCGAGAAGTGTCTTATCATAGAGTAGATAACCGCAGGTGACTACAGATCTCACACCACTAAAACAACTCAAGATATACCTTATTAGGATGATATTGCAGTGAACAGAACACGGGTGGGGACAACAGGATATGTTTGACACAATATTACAGAGCATCTCAATAAAATCTGAGAACTATATATTAAATCGTTAATTTGCAAAATGTCTACCAATTGTCTCAAAATGCCTCAGACTTCATTGTTCTTACATTTTCATACAAATTGCATTCTATTCCCTTTCTTGCTTTCTTGATCTTCCCTCATCTTCTGCTGCCAGACATTACATTCCTGACTCGCATAATATACTACTTATATCAATATAAGTAGCACGCACCACAATATATGTGATATTTTTAGTGAATATACGGATCAGTAGATCGAAGTGAAATGAATTTTCTGTCTGATATTCGAATGACTTTTGTACATAATGTACACAATGATCTTGTAATGATAGATTTAGGGTTTCGTGAGGCTTGAAAACAATAAGTTAGTAGTTACCTCTCATGGAATCATCCGGACGTGGTTTTCATCAAACGTCCACTGCTATTTACATTCTACCTTTGTTTATATGAACCGATGAAAATAGTTTCTTCGCACGTTTTATCGCACTGTTAATGTGATATTTGGTTATATTTCGCTGTTTTGCAATTTGTTTGATACTGATTTAGTGTTTGTTTGTTGAACTGGTGTTTCATATTTTGTTTGTTATATTAGGTGGTTCAGATGGTGCTAATCAACCGCACTGGTCGTTCAACAACAATATTGTGCCGCCAACAGATACAATTGAGGCGGTAGCAAATATTGATCAACAACATTTTAACGGTGGTGGTATTGTTGTTGAAGGTCACTATGCAAAACTATCCGATTTGAGAAAGTCATCAGTGCACAATTATAATAAGAATATTAATAATGATAATAAGCAGACATCTGTAATAAATAATGGAGCATCCGTAGTTGATATGCTTGATGTGAAACAAGTGAGATTATGATGTTTTTAGTTAAACTAATTTGTAGTAATTTGGAAGGTTCTTGTTCGATTCAACAACATAACACCTTTTCAGAAAGTTTTCCCAGTATTTAATTTTTAAATAACCGGATTGGTTTTTAGCAAATATCGTCCACTTGGTCGATGTACATTGACAAATTCACCAATCGACTTACTATTTTCACTCAGAATCCTATCCCTAACATTAGCATTCCTCACTTGATAGTTCCTCGTACCCCAAGAAATGCTTCGAAAATACATGACTAAAACCCTGCAGCCTAAGTAGGTCTTTCAATTTCGTAGAACAAATTTTACAGCTACAAGGTGAATCCAAATAGACTTCTTTGCATTATGCACACCTTTTAGTTGGTAGGCAGACATCTCGCTCAAACCACAAGCGACTCAAGTTAGCAAACTTCAATCGGATTTCCTGAATCCGTGCTGAGGTTTCATCTGACACCAGAACATCTGTACTAATGAGAATCTCAAGATAAATAGAGCGGTCGTTACGATCGGCTTCACTCCTATTTATGACGAAGTTAAATGAGAATGGTGAAAGTGGACAACCCTGACGAACGGCACGTGAAATTATCAATTCCGATACCAGTTAGTCGTGAGCTCTGACCTAATCAGAACCCTTCGAGTAGAAAGCCTTAACAGGGTCAATGCACCTCATTGATACGCCTTTCAATGACAAACACGCAGAACCTCACGACCAAAAGAGTTGAACATACCAACATATGTAAAGTAGCATTACATTAGTCCTTTGACTCGGGCAGATTCGATTCATAAGGTTAGTTATCCTAAAAGAATAGCTCCACAAAAAAATTGAACAATTCTTTAAAAAATTTGAGACCCATTGCACCAAGTTCAATGGATAAAATGAGTACATAAATTCACGTTTGGTTAACTAGTACCACAACTTACAGTTTTGTTAAGCGACGAAAATGTATGATAAATACTACGCAAACAACAAATAACGTACTAATTAAAAACCCAGCACGTTGACCATTCGGTAAGATACACTCATGACGTTGACAGGCGTACACCACTGCTTCCAGTTGCAAAGCTGAAAGATACGCCCGCTCGATAACTTCATCCGGAAGAATCAGGCGATAATGAATATCTGGAGGAGAGACACTGGACAAGGAACTCGACTCGACAACAGGATCTGGATGCTTTTGTCCATAATTCACTGAAATAACAAGAACGTCATTATATTTTAGGAACATATGAAGTTATTTCTTACTGTTATCAATGGAAAAGGAAACAAGGTGAAAGAAACTGATAACTGCATACATATATAAAATAGTTAAGTAGATAAGCTACGTGAAATTAAATGAAATGCCTATTTTAAGATTTTAATCTGTACAACATTTTTCAGTTAGAAACATTCTAAAGAATACAAGTTATTGACTAGGACAACTCTAACAACCTGTTTATTAAATAGTAAATTTGCTAGATAAGGTGTTGTATAGCTTTTATATCATTGCTTGCGCGCGGGGATTCTAATGTATTGACGTCTCGTTCTACCAGAAGATATACTGTAGTGAACGAGAACTCAGATGGGAAAGAACAATTTATTGTTTAATGCAACATTAATGTCTTGGTAAAATATTAAAACCATACATTAAATACATCATTTGGGCATCTTCGACTGATTGTTTCTTACAAACTTCATCGTTCTTTAATTCCAGATGTTGTCACAATTACTCTCTGTATATATTCCTGTCCTCTTCAATTTTATCTTCCCAATATTCGGTAGCCAGGCATTCCACCTCTGATTGATGTTACATACTACTTATATTTGTCAACATAAGTAGAAAATATCACAATAATTGTATTTTTCCATTGAGTTTTGTTCCGTAAATTGATGTAACAATCTGTGGTTTATTTATATTATCTATTTAGAATAATACTACATTAGAGCTTGCGAACCCTGCTAATAATACTCCTTCACAAATTGGTAAACGTAATGCAATTTTAAGGACGAATTCGTCATTCGATTATATTGGTGGCGGGGAACAAATTCAAACACATCCACATCGTGATAAACCACATGGGCATCATCATGGTCATAGTCATGATTTAAGTTCTGTTCGTGCAATTGCTTATACTATAATTGCTGGTGATGGATTACATAACTTTTGTGATGGTATAGCTATTGGCGCTGCATTCGCGAATGATATGCGTGGTGGTCTGTCAACTTCAATAGCTGTATTATGTCATGAACTCCCACATGAACTAGGTAAGTTAAAGCTATAAAAAGTACGGCGTAAATTTTCGGTTTGATTTCCCCATAATTATATCTAATATATTATGTTAAATTCTTAGCTCAATTACTCAATATTTTGCAGTGTACTATTCTTCCTACTGTAACTAGTTTATCGAATTATGTAACCTGGTGTATTGACACTTTTAAGTTCAATTATAAGTGAAATGTTAACTAAGAACTTGTTGGTTCTTGAAATAGTTACCGTAACCTTACCCCCTTAGGTAGTTTGCTTTATGATTATGATGATTCAATGGTGAACTTATGTAATAAGGGGTTATTATAGATATTGGACGAATAAAAAATAATAATTGCTGTCAAACATTTAGCTTAAGCAGGATTAAATAAACTTTAATACTAATATAGCTCCTATCTAGCTAAGCATTTGGATCGCGACATAATCGTAATTGCAATACAATGATCAAAGTGTAGAAACAAAACATAAAATCCACTGTGTCTCCAACAAAATAGACAACTTTGTGGTCGATTATCGTTATTTTTAAATATCTGCTTTCATTTACTTCCTACACTACATATATCTTCATTTTCAAATTTGCCTTTATGGAATATATAGTTATTCTGAAAGTCCCGTGTTCTCGATTAGTATGTGTGATAGACATATGGTATATCCGAGCTTCTATTCGTTGTGTCATATTAGAATAATCCTCAGTCAGTCGTAAACATAATTTATCTCAAGCCAGTCCAAAACCCCAATGCTTTAATCGTTCTTGTTAAGATATAACACAATGTTGATCTAGTCGTGGACACTTCTACCGGCTCTCACAAAGATAAATAAATATATTCCGTATATTCAATTGTTCAACATATACTCAAGTTAAAAATCTATAACAGCTTACATTCATTTCAATACTATTTCCAGGATATTATTGACATAATAACTTAAAAGTAAACAAAGAAATTATGCAATCCTATCCTTATTTTTCCGGTTAAATTGATTGTATAGGGCTTTAAATAAGGTAGCGACTCAAAGACCCACTCCTCTCAAGCCTAAATATACAAATATACGTGTCAAATAAGGGCCAACTCTAATATCAGTAAATAAAACGATGGTTAACCTGTAGTACTTATGATTCAATTGAAGCGCCTAATAGAGGTCAAAGTATAATAGTCAACAAATCTAGGATTTATGCGAGAAGTGACCTAGTGTGTTCAAGTTAATCTTTCAATGGTTTTGGACAACTTGTACAATTCAATGTAAACCAATATATTTGATGCATCAGGTAGAGTAGACCTATGCCCAAATGATCTTTACATTCAATATGTAAGTCTCTTTTAAAAAAAGGAAGTGAGTATAACAATCGTTTATTTAGAAAATTAAAACTGAAAAATCACTTCTTTCATCTTACTTTTTCAAATAGAGTTCAATGATGAAATGTTCTAATTAGAATTTCTGATGAGACCATAATTTATGAACGACCTTTGACTGACGCTACACTGACCTTGAGAGTGTCCACCTACTAATATCTACGACCAAATGAAGATTGGAATTGGTGATTTATAGTTGCTAATTAAGGTTAAGAATTAGATTTAAGATTTTTTTTAAAAATCATGAACTGACATCAGTTATAATGTCAAAATGGATAAGTGAATTTGGCGCCAAAATCCGAAATCTATTATCTTATATCTAATTGATCCGTTCATTGAATTTCTATCATTGATTCTATTAAAAATCAATCAATATTTTATTTATTATTATTATCATTCATTTTTAGGTGATTTTGCTGTTTTACTTCATGCTGGAATGTCTGTAAAATCAGCTTTATTTTATAATTTATTATCCAGTATATTATGTGCTGCTGGTATGATTATTGGTTTTTTACTTGGTGGAATGCATTCATTAGATACATGGATATTTATGTTAGCTGCTGGAATGTTTATTTATATTGCATTAGTTGATATGGTTAGTTTGCTATTTTAGGGGGGGTTTTTTCTATTATTTTTTCTTTTAGATTTCTATACATTGATTATATTTAATTATTTTACTCCCCCTCTTTTTTTTTGAAAAAAAAGAGATTGATAATTAACTCGTTAGTGATAATGTCTGATCAAATTTTTATGATCCATCCTGATCGCAAACTATTGTCATAAGTGATTGGAATTCTTACTTACACCTATCACCCCTCGTGAAGGAGCATAGGCGGCCACCCATCAGAATTTACCATCGTACTCTGCTTCCAATTCTTGGCTCAGTGTGTTTTTTTTGTCTTGGTCTTATCCGTTTCCCTTCAGAATTCCAAGTTAGCGCTTACCTCGAGATGAAGTCTTTTCCTAATTTCCTCTTCACGTAAGGGGTGGGTTGTTCTCTCTCATATTAGATTGTTACTGATGGTTGTGGTAGTTCTCCAAGTTTCACATTTGTAGAATAGAACTGTCTTGACGTTTGTATTGAGGATTCTGACTTTGATGTTGATTGATAGTTGTTTTGAGTCGCATGTTTTTAAACTGTAGTAATGCTGCCCTTACCTTTACAGTTTCTGTCTGCACTTCATCTGTAGTTCTTCTAGTGTTACTGCCGGTCCCAAGCCCGGGTAAAGAAAGAGGGTTGGGAATGAGGTTGGCAACCTCACTGTATTCATAATGAAATGTTAATTTGTATGTATTGTAAGTTGATAACTGTAAACGTAAGTCAATAAGAAGAGGATTATGCTTAGAATATCCTAGTTTTTGGTTTTATTGTTCAGTCAACACTTCGTTATTCCAATTAGTTTTTTTCCTCTTCAATAAAATGGATTTATATTTTGTCCTTAGTTTCACCCTACTGAGCTGGCTAAATATATAGTTAAGCCCATGTATTATTTGGCTATAAAGGTTGTGATTGAATTTTTGGCATCGTCTTTACGGAGGATCAAATAATGTTCTATACTTGTTATAAAATATGGCTTGGGATATTTTTCCCTTTCAAATGTACTATCATTATGCGTTGAATACGATAATGAAAGCGGTCACGTTATATTAGTAACAGGGTTTACGACCTAGAATAAAGAACTAAATTAACACTAGATAGTACTTTTTTCTATATAATTACAAGCAATCATTGTTAGTGAGCTAAATGCTTGTTTATCCATTCTCAATGACCAATCATATTTTACTTTCATTATTATATATCAATAATACACTACTAGTTAGGGATAATCTGTACTTTATTAATTGTCTAACTAACCTATATTTAAGTACTTTTTGTTCTCATTTTTTTGCGCTTAGCAACATAGAGCATGCTACCAGCTTTTTATTACTTACTGTATCCATTACTGACTAATATAGATAATTATCAGAAGGGGTTTTGTGAAGATTTTTAGGAATTTCAATAGTTGAAATCATGAGTCAATTGAAGCTAGACCACCATGGAGAACCTGGAGTTCTAGTGAGAAACCGTGACCAGTGGAGTTCAACCAGCTCTGTTGTGTGATATCAACTCACTGTGAACAATGATATGCGGCGGTGCAACTTTGTGGTTTTGTTGAAGTTAGACATTAACACCGTTGGATGCCAGCTCAGTGGTCTATTGGTTAAGCGCTCGCGTACGAGACTGATAGGTCCTGGGTTCGAATCTCGCATGGGTCGAGATCGTAAATGCTCACTGCTGAGGAATCCCATACTAGAACAAAACGGCCGTTCAGTGCTTCCAGGTTTTTCATGGTGATCTACCTTCAATTCGCTGATGATAATATAGATAAGTCTAATAAGGTATGGCAACTCGGACCGATGTATATATATACCAGGTCCTATGTCGTAACGAACTGTTTGACTAAATATAGATAAGTTCTTACATTCATCATTTTAGCACTCATCATCATTACTTTCAAAATCATTTCAACTAATCAGTGTATATAATACTTTTGTTTATGTTTATTTGTTGTTTTTTTTTGCGTTTTATTTCCCAGATGCCAGAATTATCGGCTAATCAACTTAAAGGTAATCGACGTTGTCATCAACCGAGTGTTTTATTTATATGGCAAAATTTTGGTATCCTTTTAGGTTTCTGTATAATGCTATTAATAGCATTTTATGAATTTCAATTTATATCACACTAACCAAAAAAAAATTTTTTTTTTTACATCTTTTCAAATCATATTTCTTTATGCACCCCCACCCATCGGCAACCTCCCACCCCCCATCTATCTCTTTTTTTCTTTAATGAAAAAATAAAGAAGAAAAAAGTATTGATTATTTCCATTGACAAATTACATTTCTATTTTTTCTTTATCTTTGTATCTTTTTTTTTATTTACCCGATTTGATGTAATTAAGAAAAACAAAACATTATTCTCTCTTTTTTTGTTTTTTTTTAAAGGGAGAAAAACAATTTTTTTCTCTTTAACTTCTCTCTCTTTTTTTGTTCTTTTTTTCCTAAGAAAAAAAAAAGAACGAAGTTTATATTTAGATATATTTTGCTATTTATACATTTAGTCTTAAATAAATAAATAAAGAAAGAAAGAAAGAAAATGCGCTTTATATGATTTTGTTTAATGGTTAATTATGATCTTTATTTCAATGATCAACTACTCTATTATCATTTCAATGTGGATTATTTCATAATTGGAAAAAGGAATGTTATGCAGTGCTATTTGTTGATTATTCGATTAGAATGATATGCGATTCTTTTTGTTTTGTTTTTCTTTTTCTTTTCTTTTCTCTTTTTTTCTTTTCTTGTTGTTGTTTTTCATCTATTCTACTTTAAAATAATTTGATCAGAATGATCTTATTTTCTGTTGATCTCATTTTTAAGTTCGATTAAAGATTTGTTTAGTGATGAATAATAATAGTGTTGTTTTTATCATGGATGATGAAGGAGTTTTGTTGAGATTGCAGTCATTTCAATCGTTGAATTGATGAATCCATTAAAGCTAGATTCATCATGATAAACTTGAACGTACTGGATGGTTATTTTATCCTAATATGGAACTCCTCAACAGTGGTGTCTTCGAAACATTGCTCGTATATCCTGGGACCATCGAGTAAGTAACTCAGTTGTTAAGAAACGGGTACTAGGTAAGGATGGCGAATCAATTGATGAAGTAGAGAAACTTCATCAGTTGAGATGGCTGGGACATGTGTTACGTATGCCCAACGACCGACTGCCTCGACGTGCTATGTTCAGTGGTATAGGAGTAGGTTGGAAGAAAGCTAGGGGCAGCCAAACCAAAACATGGCACAAGTCCATGAAGTCACTGACAAGTGAACTGAGTCATGTTGGTAGGTGTAGACTACCTGGTTGAGGACCGCGAGATGATAGCAACCGATGGTTAGAGACCCTGAATGACATGGCTCAAAATCGTTTGCAATGGCGCAGGTGCATACATTCTTTGTTTTCTCCCAAATTCTAATCTTCTGAATTCTTCATATCCCTTTCTTTTTTCTCTTTCCAAATTTATTTCACTGGATTATACTCTTTAAATAACATCTCCAAACCCTAATGTTTCCGATTACTGCTTATACTCTTATTACCTCTACCACTAAGGGATTTGAATCGACAACTGCATCTCTGTGCTAAGGTGGTGTGGCAACTCGAACTGATGTACGTACGTACGAAGTTCTACGTTGTTACTGACTGACTGACTGGATATCTAGGATCCCACTACGAGATATTCGATTGCAGGAGTTATCAGTCTCACTCTGAGAAGTCCTTATACTAGGACAAACCAACTATTCGATTCTTATAAGTTTTTCATGGTAATTTAACTGACATCAACTCATGAATTCTAACTAGTAAGATTTTAATCGGAGAGAGTGGTTTTGTGGATATTATTATAATGAGTCAATTGAAGCTGGATCATCGTTGAAAAACTTGGAAGCATTAGATGACCCTTTCTTCTTAATATGTATTTCCTTTTTCCAGACTGTTTGCGTGTAAACATCTGATCATTTCCTAATATCCAGGTAATCTACTTGTTTTTCTTTTTCTTTTTGCTTCTGACACTTGGAAACTAATCTCATAAGATTAAATCAACTGTGACTAAATGAGAATAAGCAAAAGTATAAACATATAGTTCATCCGTTTGATTCTTTTAATATTCGACATAGACTAATTGTATTTGCAATTCTCAAGATGAAGTTTTAACAATTTTCAATGATGTAACTTCATGTACATTCTGTAGGGGGGGGGTAGTATCTTTAAATCTTCTAGGTGATTACAATATGTTATGTAACTCAAATCGATATGTAATGAGTTTCATCTAATCAGATTTTTATGATCTTGTATACAGGTTGTTCATAGAAATCTGATCCATTGAAATGACATTTAGTGGACTTTCTATTGTAGTAGTTAATCCGGTGGTGGAAATATATAAAAGAAAGATTGACTACAAGGAACTAGTACAGGCAGAAAGAATTAGTTGGTAGAAAAAAAGATATAAAGCGATTTTAGTCTCTTGGTTTAAGAAAAGCCAGAGAGTATACACACCGACGTCATTGTGATTGATTCTGAGCCATGTCACCTAGAGTTTTCAACTATTGGTTACGATAGTCATGCGGACCCGAACCAAGTAGTCTGCATCTACCAACATGACTCATACTAGAGTTTAATGACTTCAAGCTTTGATGCCACGTTTTGGTTTGTCCAACCCCTAACTTTCTTCCAACCATCTCCAACACTAGTCAGAATTGCGCGTCGTGGTAATTGGTGTTCAGGCACATGTCTCAAACATCTCAGTCGATGAAGATTAACAACCTCATCAACTGATTTGCCATCATTCCCTAATACCCTGAATCTAACCTCATTATTACTTACCCGGTGATCCCAGGTGATGTGAGCAATATTTCTAAGGCATCTGTGATCAATTACTAGCAGCTTACGAATGTCTACTCTTAATGGCCACGTTTCGCAGCGGTAAAGTACAACAGAACGGACTGCCGCGCAGTATACTCGTCTCTTAATTGATAGACAGATATCTCGCCATAGTTGACGTAAGTTGACAATAGCTAAACGAACTTTTCGAATCCATGCAGAGATTTCGTCAGACATCAACTAATTAGGACTGATCAAACTACCAAGTTAAGCGAAGTCGTCAACGAGTTCAACTACTGGCATTGTTGCTCAGTGCTACCAAAAGACTCTGCGTTTTATCAACGTCTTCACCAAACCGGTATTATATACTTTCTGACTATACATTTTCAGAAAAAGTTGATTATTTGGTTCTTTGTATTCAGTTTAGCTAACGTTAAAATAGACTAACCTTGAATATATGTATATTTTAAAAAAAAATTATAACAACAAATAATCAGATAGATGTTATAACATAATGCACGAATAATTTTACTGTATACCATGACCTATCATTTAACATTGTTCATTTCATCAATGATCACGAAGAGGATGACTGTCTACATTAGCTAACTAACTACAAGTTCACACTTCATTACTAATTAATTTCATCCATGAACAATTGATTAGATATATTCATGTAAATGTAAATGATCTACTTTGTGATGGTATTATTTCTATGGTAACTAATATCGCAGTTAACTACAATGTAACTTCTTAAATACTTATGAAATTTAATCTGTCACATGCATATCTGAACACTTCTGTACAACATAATAAATAGCCTGTTACTTGATCTTAGTAGATATTAAGAAAAAATGTGTCGCTCAATTTCGTGGATTAGTTGAAGTTAGACATGAACACCGTTGGATGCCGGCTCAGTGGTCTAGTGGTTAAGTGCTCGGGCGCGAAACCAGTAGGTCCTGGGTTCGAATCTCGCAGGGGGCGAGGTCGTGGATGCGCACTGCTGAGGAGTCCCACAATAGGACGAAACGGCCGTCCAGTGCTTCCAGGTTTTCCATGGTGGTCTAGCTTCAACTGACTCATGATCTTAACCATTGAAATTACTACAATCTCCACAAAACAAAAACCCATCTGATATTAATCAAAAATGACAAAAGGTATATTAAATTAAACACTTATGCTTATATCATACGATATGTAGTTTAAGATTTAGTTTGTGTCGTGAAATACTGTTATGGTGGTGTTTAGTCGCAGTCGACTAAGATCACCACCATAGATTGATTACGTGCCAATTACCAGGTGAAATACCTACTTAAAATAATTATTAGAAGGATAGTTGTAGATTGTAGTCAGGATATATTTGCTGGTAATCTCGTGCTATTAAAATAATGCCGATTTCGTGTCAAAGTTTACAGGGGAGACTACCGTGCATACGTGAGTAAGCTAAAGGTCACAAACAACGGAAAAGTGTGTTTTCTGGATAATTAAACAAAATGTTACAGTAAAACAATCACTAGTACAGTTAGTTATAATAATAAATGCTTTCATTACACCAATCGCGTTGTCTTCATAAAAGTAGATCACTACACTGCTTTGAAGTGGTACTCATTCTCCATACTCCTCTCATGTAAATAAATAATTATGAGGGAAACATTATAACAGTGATTCATCAATGTCTAAACCCTTAAATAGCTTTTTTCCGAATGAGAATTCTACCATTGAGTTTCTTGACTGTCCGAAAGTAAAAATCATTTTTTATTCACATAGTGATTGAGTGGTTGTGCATATCTGTAACTTCCTATTTGGTATTCAGGCCTCAAATACCTAATTCACAAACTCTATCTATTGAAACACTTAAACAATCACTTATGAGTCCGTAAATTTTACTTACGCAGACTTATTTTTCTGATCATTCTGTACAGGAAGACAGAATTGTTTCGATCTGGTTGACGTCTTTGATATGAAGAGTCGCTTAGTTACAAGTTTGACGCTTGCAATGCATAAGTTCGATTAGTATTGACTGAACGACCTTGAGGCAAGAGAAGAAAACTATCCTACCTGACCTATGACGTGATTGATTGGTAAGCGGATTATTATTTATTTATTTGAACACATGAATATTGGTACAAGAGAGCGCCAATATATATGCGCCACACAAAACAATGAGAGTTCGAAGAGAAGTAGAAAGAAAAAAAAAACTAAGGAGCGCAAAAGAATAAGAGAACAATGACGAAGAGATTGGAGTAAGGTAGTGTGGTAGTAACGACGGAACGAAAAGGTACAATCAAAAGAAATCTTTCAGGTAAAGGAGACACAACCACTTTTTATGAAGAAAGTAAAAGAAGGTTACAGCGGGATCGCCACTGGCTTCTATTCTGAGCCATATCTGATAACGTCTCTAGCCACTGTGTAGCACCATCTCTCAGACCCCAACCAGGGAGTCGTGAAGGACCAACAGAAGCCAGTCCTTTGCAGCTTTCTTTCATACCACGACACCATGTCATGCACTGACCACCTCTCCGCTTCTTCCAACCAGTCCCAGAGTCGGCAAATAATGCACGACGTGGAATTCTCTGGGACGACATTCGTAGAACATGTCCAAGCCACCGAAGTCGGTGTTTCAAGATGGTGACACCAATTGAATTATCATCTCTGTGCCCGAACACACGATGCCGAACCTCTGCATTACTGACATGGTGTTGCCACTGAATGTCAGCAATCCTTCGGAGACAGCGATGATCGAACACAGAGAGTCGTCTAACGTCCTCAACTCGGAGAGGCCAGGTTTCACAAGCATAGAGCAAAACTGCTCTCACCGACGCGTTGTAGATCCGACCTTTTACAGCCAGACTAACATCACGAAGGCGCCAAAGGTGGCCCAGATTGGCATAAGCCGCTCTGGCTTTCACTATTCGTGCATTGATCTCATCACTCACACCCCCACCAGCACTTTTGCAGCTACCCAGATACACGAACTTCTCGACTACGTCTATCTGCTCACCATCCAGGGTGAGTACAGGATTGGAATCCTGC